GCCACGTGTGTGATGAATCCTCTCTGCTGTGAATGAACAGCGACTCCTGCTGCATCCAATCACATCATGGGGTCACCGCCGGTGACATGGATCACTTAGAGACCGAGGCGAGAAGGCATGCCTTATTGTCCGGGACGTCTCATTTAGAAAAACAATAAACCATAAAAACATATAAAATGTTCATATGGAAGTTAGAAATAGAGCAAATAATCAGTCGACCACTTTAATAATAGGCCATGTTTAACAACCGGTAAACACCTGCAGACTCTGAATGAAATGAAGCAGCTGTTAAACCAGATTACTGTAGTCCACCTAACCCAGATTACATTTTTATTTATTGTGTGAATGTTTATGAAGCACTCACGCTACAGTGAGCCATTTTTCATCTGTAAGTTTATCGACATCTTTCTTGTTCCGCAATTTTTGTGCTATTTCAACAAATCATCAAAACGTTCAGCTCTTTCAGGACAATCCTGCTATAACTTTTGGTATTGGTGAAACTTTAGCTATTTGAAATATTTAGCATTTTCTGCCATTCTTTCTCATAGAAAATGAACTGAGCTCATTTTCCATCCTTCAAATCTTTAGATCTGTTTACAACATTTTACTGCTCCTTTCACATTGTGTTCTGGTTCAGCTTCTTTCAGCTTCCTTGTGCAAATTTAAACATTTTTAAGCAATTTTCAGCTGTTTTTTCAGCTGTTTTGTGTTCCTTTCTGATTCTTTCAGCTAACTACAACATTTTTGTGCTTCTTCTAACTTCTTTCTGCTAATTTCAGCTTTTATGCTCCTTTCAGCTTTGCAAGTTGCTTTTTTATGCTATTTCAACAACTATTTAGCTGTTTTAATGCTAATTTTAGCCTTTCAACTAATTCCACATTTTTTGCACTCATTTCAACTTTTCTCAGCCTAACACAGCCAAAAATGTGCTCTCTCCACTTCCTTCTGATAAGTTCAGCTTCTTTGATTTTTTTAGCTACTTTTCAGCTGTTTTTATTTTTGCTCATTTCAGCTTTTTTCAGCAAACATGTTCTTTCTGATTTCTTCTGCTAATTTAAGCTTGTTCCACATTTTCAGTGACAGTAACTTTTTAGCTAATGTTTTAGCATTTTTGTAGCTAATTTCAGCCGTTTTCAGATAAATTCAAGTTTTAAGTGGTAATTTCTGCTACTTTCAGCCTAATTATCTTCATATGGTAATTTCAGCTTGTTATGCTCATTTTAGCTTTTTTTCTGCTAGATTCAGCTTTTTCTGCTATTTCAGCTCAGCTTCAGCTACAGCTGGATGCACAATGGATCCCTGGAGCCAGTGGAATATGGTGTGTCTGTATGTATTCTCCATTGAGGATGTAGAAGACGTGTACATAATTGGATTTATGATAACCGAATTTCTGCTTTTTGGTGTTGGCGGGTATCTGGCATATCGTCAAATTCAGAAGACGGCAGCAGAAGTTCTGGCAATTGTAACGCCACCTGCCTTGTATGAAGGAACGTACCGAGCGGTAAGCTCTCAGACTCAGATGCTGCATGAACTGAGCTGTAAGCTGGACGCAGTTTCTGAGAATTGCAGTCCACTTGCGGCTCCTGGGACTCACTGGCGGGAAGGAATCGACATTGGAGAAGGCTACAAGCTCAGTCCAGCGATGTGACCATAAAATTTGGTTGTTTGGAATCGCCACTGAGACGTACCAGCACTTTGAAGTCAGACATGGAAATTCAAGCAAAGGCTGCCTGACCCAAAATAATTACGGTATCTGAATTTGGTTTCCCCGCCCTGCCTTGATTTGGCCAGCTCTTTCAAACTTCTCCTGGTTGTTTATGTGAACAAGAAGACCCCCCCCCCCCACACACACACACACACACCCCTATCGCTCCCCTCCCGAGGACATATGTGGATCAGTGTCAGCTGAGCCGGCTGATAGACACTGTGCCATCTTTATCAGGACTATGGAACTTTCTGGCAGTGTCCAAGGACAACTCACTCGTCGGCCCCCTCATACATAAGTGTTTTATGATGTCATCAATATGTTGTTGTTTCATGTGCCGAGGTCATTTGTTTTTGCACCTTTCACACTGTGTCCCATCTCAGACACAGTGTGAGATTTGATTTCTTTTACACCTACACTCTCCCTCATGTTTCTTTGCCTTATCTGAAAAAAGGGCTGCACCTCTCAAGGCCGGCGGCCTCATTCACCTCCCTCTCCCCATGTCTGTTTGTTTATGTTTCTCTCGGCCAGGCTGTACTGAAATGTAATTTCGTTGCGCTTCGGTGCAATGACAATACAGCTGAATCTGAACAAGTATTCATACTACATTTTCGCAGTTGCTTTTAGTTGTTTTTTTCCCCAAATGTTATTAAATATAACTTTATATAATATGAGCAATAATATGATATGTTGTTAAATGAAATTAAAAAATACTTTTTGTGTATGAGCGTTTAGCTGTCCTGATTTCTAAAAGGCAGCACGGTGGCACAACTGGTACAGCTGCTGCCTTTCAGCGCACAGGTCCCTGGTTCAAATCCCGGTCCGGGGGACTTTCTGGGTGGAGTTTGCATGTTCTCTCTGCGTGGGTTTTCTCCGGGTGCTATAGTTTCCTCCCACAGACCAAAAACATGCATGTTAGGCTGACTGGTAACTCTAAATTGTCTCTGATTGTGAGTGAGAGAGTGAATGGTTGTTTGTCTTGATTGTCTCTATGTGTCCCTGTGATGGACTGGAGACCTGTCCAGGGTGTCCCCTACCTCTCAGAGAGTGATAGCTGGACATGGGCACCAGCGACCCCCGTGACCCATAAAGGAAGAAGTGGGTAAAAATAATGGATGGATGGATTTCTAAAGGTCCATCAGAAAAACTGATCAATCGACCTCTAATCTAACATTTTCTTCTTTGTCTACATTTTTGGGTGGATCTGAGTAATCTTATACATTTTGAGACAACTGGTTCTAAATCCAAATATAATCCAGCTGAACAGGCCAGATTATGTTAATATTATATAAGAAGTTATAATGCTAAAATAATGAATAGTACAGCTTTCTAAAACGTGAAGATTAGTCCAGTTCTTTTTGGTGAAGATTCAGAAAGTGGTCTGAAGGTTTAACACTTTATTTGCTCTGGCACTTGGAGAATATGACATTTTATACCATTTTATAACCAATTAAAGAGACTAACAAAGTTAAGTCATGTCCTTTGGACGGATTAAAAAAAATCACAAATAAACATAAAAACTCTGTTGTTGTTACACAAAAAAGTTGTTTTGTCTTTTATCCAAAAGACTTCTTCAGTCTGAGGAGCTGCAATAATCTCTGTCTTATTAACAGCAGCTTCTCATAGTGGATCAACCAGTTTATTGTTGACATCCAGAACCAGCTGAAGTTTATATATATATATATATA